CAAAAAAATGGAGAAATCGCAAGATTGAAAATAATTTGTGATTGCAAGACAAGAACTACAATCTCAGTGACTACGAGACAACAACTGCAATCTCGTGAAAAACGTTACTCTACCGGAGTAGCATCTAAAATATCCTGCAATTCTAACGTATACAAATGAAACATACCTGTCGAAGCTTTCCAGGAACGTATAATTCATTCATATTGTCAAACAAAAACATATGTTGAAACGAATCAATAGCTAAAACCGGCAAATCATCTTCAGTTTTACCTAAATGTTTTAACGGATGTGCAAATTTATGACCATCTGCCAGTAAAGCATTGATTGTATTTTTCTGGTCATAAAGTTCACGCATTACCTGCAAACGTGAAATGTTTAATGAGCAACTTTAACTTTAAATATATCCAAGGAAGAGCTGGCTCAAAAGAAGCGATGGATTTAGATCATAAACCAAGCTTAATCAACGTTGCAATATTATAAGAATCCGAAATCTCTCTACTTACCAAAGAAAAGTATCATGAGATACAATTTACCAATTCAGTGAACTTTTTGTCGCCTTCTTTGTCTCCAAAATTTCTGAAGAAAAGTAAGAATGGTAGTCCTTCTTCCGTTAGCTCTTCAACATTTTCAAATGTGACTTCCCGTACCAGTGGTATACACTTGTCTGTAAGCCATTGCTTTACATAGTTGTAATCCGTTAAATTACCCGTAAACTGCAATAAATTTTCAGTGCATAGAATGCATAATGTTCTTAGAACTTCTGAATTCACAGTATATTCAAAGTAACTTTATAAATTCAACTCTTCCCAATAATTCAAAATCTCTGCTGTTTAGCATCAAATAGTGCCGGAAACGATTATTATAACCTCACTGAAATGAAACTTCGATATTATCAACCTTCTGCTCATCTTCAGTATCTGGATCTCGGAAATGCATCATGCTCCCACTCACACCTTTCAATTCTTCGCCAGTGCCAACCCAAAATGCACAATCTTCGCGTAAAATAGTAGCAATTTTCTATAAATCCCAAAATTGAATTCATAAAAATTGTTTAAAAACTGATATAATAAATAATCTGTAGCTGATAAAAAACGAAACCTGGAAACTTCGATATTCATCGCTACTTTTGTCTGCAAAGTAAGCAATCACATTTCTTTTGGATTTGTCCATCTGCTGCTCCAGGTCTTTTTCCCCAGCAAAATTTTGTATACTGGATGAGAGTTGTTGCTTAACAAACGCTGTGAGTGCTTCAACTGAGCGCGTAGATCTGGCAATTAAGGAAAATGAATTTTTTATACCGAATTTAAAAAGTTACGAAGAACTCCTGCTGTAAACATGCAAGCAGTATCAATGTGATGAAAATACCTGTATTCTTTGTTCACTAATTCTCCATTAATAAAAACTTTCATCGTTGGGTATTTACTGACAGAGTACTTGACAGCAATTTTTGCCTGCAAACAGCTTGAACTTAACAAAGAAATTGAGCAATTCTACTACTTACAGATCTTTTCATCGATATAAAGGAACACATCAGCTAACTTTACTAAGCAAAACTTTACTTGCTCGACGCTGTCCACAAAGGCCCAAATTACACTTGCCGCAGGGTTTTCTTGTGCAAATATTGCAGCAGCTTCCTCAAAAACTGGTTTAAGTCGACGACTAAACGGGCACCAATCAGCACAAAACGCAACAAACACAACCTAAAACGATCTCATAATATATTAATTATCAACGATGACCGTATTAGTTAAGCAATCTGCTAAAGTAAGTCCAAGTTACTCATGTCTTTTCATTTACTTTTCCATAATTTTATTCCATGGATCAAATCTTTTATACTCTAATAGATATACTATTCACAGACATTATATTAATTTTAAATGAAATATCCCTGTAAGAATGAAGGTACGAGGTAACAAAATTTTGATGCAGTTCAATGACAATTCTAAGCGATAAATTTCTGGTACTCACTCACTGGGAAAGGAAAAACACAGTGAAGATCAAATAAAAAAAAAAAAAGTACAGCAATGTTAAACTGGATACTCTCGGAGTTGGTCAAAAGTAACAGCATGTAAGCTATGATAGCCGCACTCTTTATGGGTTAAATATATCTTCATTTCCGAATTTATGTTAGATAGCCAGAATAAGGTGTACAAATGAAACGCGTATTATTCTTTCTACTGTATTTAGTAATATATCTAATTTAGTAATATATCTAAAGTACAGGAATCGGAAATTAGACGTGAAAACTGTTTTTTAGTGACAAAATCACATTCCCAAACGGGATTATTTGTTCCGCACATTAACCATTTTTTCTTGCTCGATGATTAGTTCCTGCATCTTCTTAAAATGATTCCTGTCCTTTAGTCTGCGATACTACTAGCTCTGTTAAGAATTTGCAAAAATTCTAAAAAAGTTGCAGATTTCTAACCTGAGCACTTTTGATGATACCATCGTGATTATCCATATTCAACCAAATGACATTCGTTAATACAGCTGGTAAAGATAAAATTATCAGCAACAACCAATAACTCCTTATTATCATTCTATACACGAAGATTTATGCTACTTAAAAATTATCTGAAATTTCAACAAATTCTTTACAATAAAAGCGAACAAAATTATGAACGAATTATGAACAAAAATTATGAACGAATTTTCGCAGAATTATGAACGTTACTAACTTCCATCTTGGACCAATTTCCACTAATTTCACTACTTCAATCCTATTTCTATCAATTCATTAAGGACTTGAAAGTACTCTTATTCCTTCAATCCAGAAGTGAAATTCGTCAGAGGAATAAAGGAATAAAGACCAAACGAATACAACATATAGGAGTTGAACGAAAGCGACACTCATATTCTTAAAGATGGTGTCGCTCTTTTTTCTTGTTCAATTTACCATGAGAATGGTGCACACGAACCGCAACCATTTAAAAAAATCCCCGCAAATCACCACCCCGGCTTGCGCCCGTCCCATTCTCACAACACCATTCGCAACTCGTACCAGCACGGCATTCAAGAAACGGAAGACGTTAGGGGTCTCAACGCATCGGCCATTCTGCCCGTCAGTTTGTCCACTTCAGTTGCTGAGTCACCCTTTGTCGTTTCCAAATGCTCTGAAAGGCATGGTCTAGTAGAAGTTATTACACGCTGTCTCCTACAAATTTCCATTTTCGTACTCATTCCGTGACGCGCTCCTCTAGTTCCCAAATGTATTCCACTTGATTTGTCAATCAGCAGTTAGGTCACTTATAAGTAGGACTGAGTCGGTTCAGGTCGGGTTGGGTTGTGATTAACCTATACATAAACAGTGGTAGGTGGGAACAGCGTGATTTGTAAAGTAATTTAATATTTATCGGAAAAACGCCCGTAAGATTACAAAAGAAGCTTCTGATGCTTCTGTGGAATACGGTTAGAACGATTTTTGTGCAGAATTTCCTGATTTTGTCACAAATTCTTGACTGCTACAGAAAGAAGCTACCATTAAAAAATCTACAGTTTCCAAATATGAAAGGATTAGTTAACGCAAAGTTTAGTTTTCCAAAGTTTCAGTAACGAAAGATAACTGAAATTCGTTCCCTATATTGTATCCCACATTTCCAAGGATTCGAATTTCCTATCTCACACAATTTCCTTCAGTCCTGACATATGCATGTTATGTGATTGGGGAGTGAAGAAAACAAAGATGGATTAAGAAAAAGAAAACCAGCTCTTCCTGATGAATTCTTGAATAAAGCAAAGCAAAATATCGATTAATACAATGATAAGCACATGGAATGAATTTTATACAAATGGCATAGTATACGTTTTATGTATTTCGTATCAATTCTCCAACCACAGAATACGAGTAAAAAAATTTTGAAGGGTATTAATTGTACTTAGAGAGGAGCGAATAGAAATGACATAATGTGATTTCATTTCTTCAACAGGATCATTGGAATGTGTCTTCAAAGTAAATATGGTATGGAATTGAAGTTTATCTTGAGTTAATCCTATGTCGTATCCAGAAACCATAACTGCATTTGACATGGATCAGGCATGCATGATCAATGCGGTAAAGAAATTATAGCATCGAGGTCTTGTGAATTCGTTACTGGAAAAGTATTGCGACTCTATTTACAAAGGATCAAATGTGATTCGATTTAAAGTGAACAAAAAAAAAAAAGAAATATTCTGGACGTGATTAACAAGTTCTTTGGTGGCGCTGATATTGCATGACAACTCCACATTGTCGTAGGCATTTCCTTTTCGTTGTTTCAAAATTTGCTTTCTCCAATTGCAGTAACTTTTTTCTCAGTCTTTGACTTTTGCAGCAAACAATGATGTAGTCTAGATGCACTTTTTTAGTAGTTCTGATTATAAGCAATGAAAAATCTAACTAGCAGATAGAGCGAAACGAACTTGAATATTCTGCAACGCAGTCATATATGTATAAAGATTCATTATCATCAGGAAACATCAATGTTTGATGGTTAAATAATCCTGATGGTTTTGATGATTATGTGTTACATCTTACAATAAGCCTCTTTCGAAGATCCTGTCTAGACAGAGTTATGATGCTCAAGCAGTATTGATATTGAATGTTAATTTTTGGAGCATAGCTGACAAGATCTGGTTGCTGCATACGATGCACAGCTCAGCTGATGGTCTAAGAGAAGCCTAACAACAGAAAATGGTATTTATGGAAAATATTTTCCTTCTTGTACATCAGCATTTAGTTGATGTAATTCGACAATAAGCCAGGAACCTACTGATCATTAAGCCAGAAATTTGAGGTAAACACCACGAAAAAAAACATAGGGTAGAAAACAAAGGAGAAATGCGGATGGTGATTCACACAGATCAATTCCAGGCCGAGTAAAACACGGGGGAACCGAAGAATCCGAGTGTACCTCTTTCGGATCATATTGACAACTGTTCACTACATAAACTATCAATGAAATCATCATGACAGCATAGCAAATTGTGATCAGAAAACGATATTCGGCTAGTAGTTAGTCAGTGTGTGGCAGCGAATAGTCACTGCTAACGGATGACTGATATATTTGATAGGAAGTGGTATAGGTAGGATGTGCAAAGAATGAATGAGTTCTAAATGGAGAGATTCTGCCCCAAGAAAAAATGCTCTTGCTAGCGAAGTGCTTTTACTAATATATTACAAATGGCGTTCACATTTACGAGACCACAAACAATGTTAAACAGAGATTAAATCATCAACACTGAATTCCGAAACGATCAAAATTTTTGGTTATTACAGAAATGCGCAGTCTAACGACACCCATGGATACAGTACGCAATCTTGAATGTTCATCGAGTCGTGTCGAAGTTTCATTGCTCAACTGTAAACTGCCCCCAACAAAGTACTGCATCATTTCTTCACGTAGATCACCTTTCGGCCTCCACGTATAACATTTCATCTGTACTTAATGAAAACCAATCAAATTAACCAAATCAATAATTGACTGTCAAACGATTATGAAAAACTGAAATTTGCAGCTATTTGCAAATGGCTTAACCAACCACTACAAATAACAATCGCTTTTCGATTGGCTTCAACAAAGAAGTTACCTGATGTTCACCGGGTGAAGCTGGCAAATATATGGAACCGTAACCATACAGTTCTTGGCGACCAAATTCATCGTAGTGCCAAATTTGTAAACTAACTGAAGGCCATCCTGAACATAGGCAATATTTTGAATAAATTTTTGTTTATTACCATAGTCATTTATTTTGAGATTTTTCGACTACAGCCATCACACAGTTCTAAGCTAGGGAAGACTGCAAATGACCAACATAGCTTAGATTTGACAAGTCGTAGAAAACGTAAGAGCTAAAGTATGGAGAGTTTTTGGACTTCTAGATGTCAGCCATCTTGAAGAACCATGAAAAGACGTTTTGGAACTATTTTGAATGGGAATTATTTTATGAACCATTTTTAGAATAATTTCCATTTTATGGTAAAGTCAAGCTGACCTTGTATAGTTTTAGTGACGAGATGTATATCCAACGGGTGTGAAAAGTATGCGAAATCCCCATATTCAGATAAATCGGTCTGAGTTTGTCCTTTGCTCACTCCTTGTATCACACGCCATCCACCACCTTAACATGATTTGAAACATTGCAGTGCTCTAGCTATGCACGACCTCCTTGGTTAAATAGTTGACAAAATAGCACGGATCGAAAGAATAATCGAAATCTCAAAAACAGAAAATACTTTTATGAAGAAATATCACCACCTTCTTCGAGTAAAAATATTCTAAACTGTCTAAGAACTTCCTATCGACTTAAAAAATCAACAGCAACTCACCAAATCCAAGTTCCCAACGACAAAAAAGGCGTTGTTCGGGGAATCCAAACGCACTTTCAATCTCTCCGATAATATGCACCTCAGCCATTCACTCCTCCGGTACACCCCACCCTACTCTTTCTCAATTTCCTATCGGCATCAGTGTCGCCATGGAGATAATAATGCGCTGTCATTTGTTCTTTCCAACCGTTCCGCTCCTACCAAGAAACACCTTAAGATTTCCTGAAATTCATTCTGAGTACCATAGTTTCTTGTAATTTTCCACTGGCCAACAATGAATTCTTGCTTCAGTCAACTTCTTAGCCAACTGTCATAAGTTATCCCACTTTTCAAGTTCACACTAAGATCATCAAATTCTCTTCCCATGAATTACATTTTCACAAACGAAGTGTTATGCAAACACGAGCATCAATTCCTAAAACGCATTTTATTTTTATTTATTTATTTCTTGTGAAACGAAACAATATTACCATTAATAGAACAGCAGAGGATATTGAAAATATTCGTTGGAATAATTATCGCTATCAACAATAAAAACATAACTAAAGTAACATATCAAGGTAAGAAATTCCGAACGAAAAATGTACACGTGCTTTTCAGAACAACTGAAGAGTTCTCAAGAAGTAGTATATGTTCAAAAGTAGTGATAAAACCTCGATGTATTACTCGGCATATTTTACCCGTCTGGATAATGGCAACAATCACCAATACGTCGCTAGACGGTGGTGATACTGCTTTTTTTCCTTCAGCTAAGCCATTACTAGAATTGTTTGTTATAAGTAACGGCGTTACTCCGTCATTCATGAACAAATTCAAACAAAGTTGTGCTTCGCGTTGCTGATCGCTACTCTTTACAGCCGCTTTACTGTCACACGTATCCGATAAGGCTACGGAACGATCCAATTCATCTGCCGAACATCTAAAACAGTAGTAACTAAAGCATTTGAAATGTTTGCATGGAAAAAGAAATGTATTCAACCAATCTATTCAAGTAACTCACTTGTCACATAAATCCATTGTGATAGAATAGTAAACCAAAAAAATGCTAAACGTGTCACATCATCATCAAGCAACGAACTCTTCATCGAATAAATCATGAGAGAAAGTAAAATCTTCAGGATATGAAACTTTGTTTGCCCTAGCGATGGTCGATGATTATAAGTATCGTCAAGTAGTTTCGACTAGATAGTAGAAGATAATGCACATATATTATAGAAGTGATGGGTCGGAAATAGTAGCAGCTAATTTAAAGCAGCGGGTCTTGAGGCTGTTAAATGCGTTGACATTCTGGTAACAGCAGTACATTATACTAAAATTTTAAAGAAATTAACAAATAAGGTAGCACAACTAACATATAAGGGGAAGAAATAACATTGCATGTCGTTTGCATATCATTGTTTTCTGGTAGAGTAGTTTTTATTATTGAATCTGATATTTTTCTCTTGTTCAGCACACATTTATTCAGTGAACTGTATTCTGATAAATTATTAGTATGTTCGGAAGTTTCAATGCTTCCGTTTTTTTCGGGTCGGAAAGCCAAATTCTTAACAGATCTGCAATATTCGATGGTCTTTGTATATATATATATAAAAGAGAAACTTCATTACAGCAATCTTCCAGCACATTCTTAAATTCCATTTTTCTCAATTTAACTTCACTGCTGACTTCATCATCCATGTTAAAACTTCAAAACACTCCAATTAGGCTCTTCAAATACCTTTCCCCTTTTTTTCCTGTAAATGTTCCGAGATCGAATGTGTCCATAGCAATACCATCCAGAACATGAGTCAGTCGATGTCCATTTGGAAAATGAGAATTCGCGTTTTGCTCTGCGAGAAAACCTCGCAAATTAGATGTTGTTGCGCTCCGCTGCGTCAATGTTTTGTCGAAGCCACGCCGTGGAGTCATCTGAGATGTAAAAAGTGTGCAGTGACTCATGTGATTGAAGAAGTTTCTGAAGGAAATATTTAAAAAAAAAAACAATGAATTTAAAATTCAAAACTAACAAATGCATCACTTGATGCAACTGGGAGATTTTGACGCATCTCAGTAGATGCACATAAATTCATCGGTACAGTGATCGTTCCAAGAAAATTTGCGAAATCTAATCTAAATGGAAAATTGCTAAGGTTATTATGATAAAATTCCCGTCGTATTTTACAAAATGCTGTAAAAAAGAAAGACTAAAATGAACTTAGTCACTGTGGCGCTCAAACAAGAGGTCACATCGTTGATAAGCGTACTTCTTCCAACGTCGTCATCACTAGTCTGTTCTTGATCTTAAACATGTACGGTTGCACGTTATTTGCCAGATTGTATAAACAAATGTGATCGTAATATATGTCACCAATATTGTAACCAAAGAACAGATTATACGAAACGTCCTGAATGACTGCCATCGCCATCCTCTCGACGTACCTCTATGATGGTGTGCGGAAACTGAATTAAGCGACCGAAAGATTGTTCTAGAAATCAATTAAGAGTTGAATACTTTATTTAAAACGACAAAAATCAAACCAGAATGAATAGCAGAAATTGCAATATTATTATAAGAACTGTTTGTATCTTCATGATCGTGTGGTTTAGCCATATTTAGGATGTGCTCGTACACTTTATCATAGACATTGATTGAACTTCCTGAATGGGTGCACTGACCAGGAATATCCCTGCAAAAAGGAATCTCATCAATTAATCTTTGTGAATCCCAACATCCAATCGCACCCAACTGTAGAAAAAAATATAAATAACTATTGATGAAGTAAATGAAAACCCTGAGAATGAAATTATGGTTTCGTCTAAAAAATTTTTTCTTGGTAAAAACATACTTCATATGAGAAAGATGTTAAATGTATCACAAAATTCCCGACATACCTGATCTGATCGAATAAATTGGTATTAGCAAAGTTCGCTGTGAATGACTTATTTAACGTTTCCGTACTTCTTGATTTTCTTACGGAATCGCCCGGCAAATATTCATAAGTCAGATCAGGATCATCGTTTAATCGTCGATTTGCATTCGATATCGTTGAAGGCTGTTTTGATGAAGCTTTTAAAATTGACTGCAATCAAAAATAGACGCCCCACAAAAAAAGGTTGAGCAATCACAGGATATTTTCAAAATTATAATAACTGAGAAGACCGCATGATATAGGGAAGTGATTGGAATATTAAATTTACTTCTTAGAACTTGCAAGTTCTTAAACTCTCATAAAGCCAAATCTTGCAATATTTGGTGAGGAAGAAGCAGCACATAAACTCGAGGACTTAATTTCGGCTTTATAACCGCTTGGATTGCATTACTAAAATCAAAAGTTTACCACATGAGAACATGCGAGATCGTTGCTTTTACCAAAAAACATTCTCGCCCTAAATGACGGTCATCACTGCAATTTAAAAGAATTGTAACCTTTGGAACTGGAAGTGAAAGTGGCTGTGGTATTTTTGCTGTTGAGGAAAATGTTCTGGAAGTAGTGTTTAAGTTTGATTGGTCGATACTCGCAAATAAATTGGAAGTGGGTTTCGTGATTTTGCTTTCCTGTGGACTGTGTTGACTCTTTCTCGGGTACTTCTTGAAATTTGGTACCGATACTGCGCGCTTGAAATTGCAAATCTTGTTTTTGTTCCAGAGAAAAAAGCTTTCGTGAATTGGAAAATAGCATTAAGTAGTGGTAGAGTAGTGGTAGATAATAGGAGATTATTTATTGAATATACTCAAAAAATTACCCGTTTAGTGATGTCATTTGACTGAACGATACTAGTGTAATCCTTTTCCCACTTCTGGAGGTCAGCTGAATCCAATTTGTAAACCGCTGAAAACGAACGCTTGAATGGGAACGAAACTGTTCGGTCAAGTAAGGTTGAATTGTCTCTATCAACCACCTGAAATTTAGGCGGTTCTCAACTTATAGTATGCAGATAAACTGGGTTAAATAATAACTGAGCATAAATTAGGACCTCGATCTTGACCAGTTTAGTCCGGCTTTTCTTGAATGCCATTGAGGTAACAGCGCAGCCTACAAAGGATGCTAGAAACTGCATCGTCGTCCCCGCTATTTGCACATATAGTGCCCATCCAAAATACTGCTAAAAATGGTGAAAAAATTTGACTGCCATGAATTCTTTTAGAGGCACTTCGAACTCTCGAGAAATGTTCACAGTTGCTATTAGAGAGCTAAAGTGCAAATTATGTAAAGGAGCGCATTTTGTTGAAATCTCAAAGTTTGCGGATTTTTCTGATTCCAGACTTCTGAATTCCATATCCTTTAAATAGTCGCAGAGAAATAAACACCAATTTCCTCAAACAGTCTCTTTTCTCCTTGTCTTCAGAGCCAACAAAGAAATGTTCAAGCAACAAACAACCATTTTCAGAACAGAAATTCAACAGGACTGAATTGAGAATCCATTCTGTCGGGGAAAGAAATTTACATCACTAAACGGCGTTGTCCATTATTTGTAGTTGTACTCACCACTTCTGGAGTACCAACAACCAGCACTACCATCATGCTATTCAAACACTAACAGACATGTCCAAAAAGATCAAGTTCTGTTGAACTAGGAGCTGGTTGCTATGATACAATCATACTATTTGAAGATGTTCTTTTAAAGTATGCGTCAAAAATGTTTACTACAGACTACCAATGTCTCAAACTGGCCTAGCACATTAACAACATCATTCTTCATCTAATAGTGATCTGTTCCATATAATCGATTGAACACTGTGGCCAATAAAAATTCGTATCTGTTGCGCTATTCTCTTGCCCTATTCAGCTATCTACTGGAAAATGACCAATTATTCGTTAAAGCAACCTCATAGATGCCATCTTCTTCTTTAATAATATTGTTGTCCTGATAGTTGGCCCAGATGTAAAATATTAATAAGCCCGCAGAAGACACCAAGGCTATAAGAATAAGTTATTACATAGGAGCAAAGGTGAAGTTTTTCTTTCATCCAAAGTTGAATTTTATCAATCGTACTTTGTTAGTACTGGAATTGCAAATGATACTCTTGCATGAATTCACTCATAGCTCAATGCTGTTAAAATTCAGAAGAAAAAAGCTTGAAAAAGTCAGTCTTAAAATAATTTTTAGAGTACAAGCCGACCAGCAACAGTTACAAGAACAGCTGCAGCGCAAATAAGAGTACGATGGCAAAAAGCGCAGACTGAAAGCAATAATGCTGCACTTGCTGTTAGTGCCGCAAATCCAAGAGCAGCCAATGATGCTATCTTCCAACCTAAAACAAACTGAAGCTTTATTTTATATAAATGACAGAGAAGAAAAAAGAAAGATACATCTTTGAAAATTCGAAATGTAATAAGAACATTTAACAAACCCAACAGTAAATGTTGGTTGGCATCATCCTGGAGGCGATTTTCGTCATGATTATGATCATAGAGATCTTCGGTATCAATGTAATAATCAAATTTGTATACACATAACAATGATGTGAGAAAAAACTGATCAAATGGTGACTGCTGTTTATTAAGCCTATAATTTCTACACAGATCAAAATGAATTGAAACTCGAAAAAGGCAAAAATTGGTGCTAAAATAGTTAAATTAGGACGCTTTATTCTCCACATGAGCACTTGATAATATATAATTCCATTTTTAATTCCTATCGTAAACAGGACTACACGAACCTATACAAAGTCTCGTAATACTCACGGCTCCGGCCATAATCATGAGAATAATCGCGTTTACAATCAAGCCACAATCCATGGTGATGCTCTGTACGTCCATTCTACAATATCTAGCTTAAATATTAGTAATACAGATTCATTTAATAATAAGCATAAAGGGAGGAAAAGGTAGCAAGATAATGAAAAAAGAATAACATAAATTGGAACATTAGTGAAATAAAATTAAATTTAAGTCAAATTGTACTGTGTTACTGAAATTAGAAAAAAAAATTCGAACGAATTTCGACACTTACTTCAAGATATACATACTGCCAGCTTGGGCTTATCAGAGCGACACAGCCCAAAACATAAGCAATCAATTCAAGTAAGAAAAATAGCGATAAAACTGTTTTCTGGCTGCACTTGCTTTGACTTTCTTCACTAGCACCCATTGATTGTAACTTGAATTTCTGTTAGCTCATCGTCTCCTTCTTTTGCATCCAAACAAAGGCTATAACTGATAATTATCTCACCAACTATGGAGAATATGCATAAAGTTCGGGACGCAATTTTCCTCTTATCTGAATTGATAATGAAAGTCAAGAAAGGATAACTTGGTAGGACGTTAAATTTCCAAAACAAAATTAAGTCTTCGAGTTTGAGGATCTTTCCGATGTAATTCAAATTAGTGCGGTTATGACAGAGAGCATAGGTACAAACAAACAGCCAAGTAATGATTTTAAAAATACTTTAAAAAATGTCAACGAAACGAATGATTTAAACCGAAACCGATAGTGGTATTTACTGGTATCATTAACGATTTTCACCCATTTCATCAAAAGTAGAAGTAATAGAGAAGGTGAAAAGATGAAGTAATGAATTGCCAAGACAACTATCCCTGGTTTCTGAAGCATATTGAAAGAAGATGGACAGAACTTCAGAATTATTCTGGCGTTGAGTCATCAGATGTTACCTTTTCCAACCATCACACGTTTTGATTTTTATCAGCGAAGACTTATTTACAGTAACAGATGCCGCTAATTTAATTTAAATAACCACCCATATATCAACATTACTGATCTTATGCCATCAGCAAAACTAAGAAGTTCAAGTGGTAACTTTAAGAAATAGGATCAGTCTCCTGCTGCAATATCAGGAACGAAAATGATCCAAGAAATAAACCTTATTTTTAAGCTTTCATTCATTTACATTAAGCAGTAGGCAGTGCAGTATGATGTTTGTTGCAAACAGTTTATCATCTTATGATGAAATCCAAGTGCACATTCATATAAAAATAATGGCCTTGCAAAGGACTTGATAATTTGGAGAATAACTGGGAAATGTGAGACTGACAGAGCGGTAAATAGACCATAATTTAAAAAGAATTCAAAAAGGTCGAAAAACAATGATGTGCTTAAAAAATGTAAGATTATGTTTGAAAGACATCTATCTGCGAGTTCATATGAAAAAATAGAAATTGAACTGATTACTTCAAAAGCTGTTTTATTAAAAAAAAAAAAAAAAAAAAAAAAAGAAGAAAACTGACTCTTAATGCAGAATTAGCGGACTCAACGTAAGAAGTTTAAGATCCTTACTTCCCTTCTCAGAGCTTGATAGCAACAGCGACGAATCTGAACGAATCAGAGACCATATGAATAGCAACTCTTATGCATTTCAACGATCTAAACGGCCAGTGTCCTTGGAGCAGTCGATTTGCAAATTTTCATAAACTGATAGACTTTTGAGTAGTAGCCACCTGGGGATTCACATTTGAAATTTGTACTACTTTGACTTTTCAAGATATCATTTATGGATTAACATGATTTCATACATTTAAGAGTAGGGAGAGTTTTGAGGTAATAAAAGAGGAATATTTTGTATATGCAGTAAAGCAGAAGTCAAGAAGTTCACATCTATTCCTGTTTCGTTTGCGGCTAGTCATATGAATACGTAAACTACAAAGATTCCAATATATAAGATGAAATAAAGAAATAAAGCAAGACACAAAAATGGTACTGTACGACATGTCTGTCCCCCAAAAGAAAGGCCGAAGTGGTCATCGTAACCTCCATCTGATCCTTTCCATAACTGGTCTTAATCACGTTGATGATGAAGGTTATTTTATATCGCAGATCGTATCAGCATTCCTAGTCATCATTTGGACATTTTTGAAAAATTTCATATTCATGAAAATTAAATATTATCGATATATCAAAGGCGATAAATTCAGTGATTTATGGGCTCGTAATGGTCCCTTTAAAAAATAAAAAAATAAAAAAGAATAAAATAAAACACCCCTGCAAATCCATCGGATTACAGAGTGGACACACAGAAAAAAAATAGATTTCCGGAAAGCATAGCATTACTTACTGAAATGTGACATGATGCCCAATAGCGAGCATATTCTTCATCAAGCGGGATTCAAAACCGTTGGTGAAGAATCATGATAACTTTAAAAAATTGAGTGAAACAAAGTAGGAAAATATTTATTAACGGGTCTGAGACGTATTTTCTGAATAACAGAGAGCAAACTAACTTGAAGCATGGAATTGAAAACCAAAATGTATTAATAAGATTGTTACATATAAGTACTACCATACACATTTCTACATCATACACTACCATACCATATTACCATACCATACACATTCAAATATATTTACTTTGAGGAGAATATTCACCAGTGAGCCTATAAATTCCTCATGAAATCCAACCGGAAGTTACAGAATTTCCAGATATTTCAGGTTATTCCTATCTCTAATATTGCTCGTGGTTTCCAAATGTCATGCATTCCTATCATGAGTTTGCATTGTTGTCATTTTCTGAAAAAAATAGGCACCACTGATCCAACGCCAATGGCAACCTGTCAGCACTAATATTTCAGATACATGCAACGTTAAGGTGCGCATTCCTTTCAAACATTCCGCACTTTATCGAATTTGGCATAAACTTTTATTGACTACCTTAAAAGCACATTTCAAATGATTAACAATAAAACTGATCAATTTCAAGTCACTTTTTCACAAGATGCCAGGAGAGAATATAAATGAATCAAATAAGGCAATGAAATCCAGTTTAGAAATACAATGTTCAGTAGCACACTCGTATTTATCATCGTTATCGCACATTTGACGTACTTTAATACAGTAATGGTTTTGGCCTTTAAAATCAAAAGACGTGAATTTCCAGCGGCAGAAAATAGTGCTCGAGAAGTTAGTGACTTAAATTTCACTTGGGGAACTAACAAGTTTACATGTTGGAAAATGAATCAGAACTAGATCGACACTCCATGCATCGCTATTCGGAATTAATATTTTAACAAAATTACTTGTGAATTCTGATCTCTTCATTCACTGCATCAATAAGATGCAATTATAATATGATAGATTCGAGAAATGATATAAAATAGCAATTGTTCCATTGAACAATTAATCAAAAGAAGTGATTTCACAGCAGGTTTTCACAAAGATTTCTTCCTGAAACCATCATAATTTTTTTAAAAAGGCAAAAATTAGCAAATTAAACTGTAATTTTAAAGATGAGCGAAATAACTGATTGTTGAATAACGAGAATAATATTAAAGATCTGAAAAGAAATGCAGGAAAGTTGAATAACTGATGTGGTAGCGAACGGAAATAAAGATATATTAAAAAACACATAAAGCCACGATAAAACACAAGAAGTTGTAAAAAGCGAGGTAATATAAGTTATCATACAAATCATGTTTTTGTAACCACTAACTGTAACATTTTTTGATGAACCCATTGAAAGCAGCCCTCGAAAATTTCAACAAATTAGAATGTTCTTAATCAATAGCTTTCCAAATGATATTTAAAGCATTGAAAAAGTGAACTATAAGAAAGCACAGACTGATTACTAAAATGTGAACTGGAAGGTTCACTGAAGCAAAATGAAATTCGAGACATAAATGAGAATGCGAATGGATTAAATTTGTAATCACTCATTGACTTAAGCGAACTTGTACTTATTGTAAGTAACATTAATAGCAGATTTATAAAATCTAGGCTAGAAGCACCGACCTATCAAATCAGTACAGCAAAAATCGTATCTTAAACTGAATAATAGATGCTAAAATATAATGGAAACTTATGAATTTGTAAAAAATTTACAGAATTGGAACACATAAAAAAGTGGCTAATTCGTATCCTTTTTAAGATCAGTCTAAACAAGAATACAATGCAACTAATATATGAAGCATGGAGACTACTTTTTTTCGTTCCTTAAATGGATTATTTTGGCCAAATTATTTAGACTTTAAATTCGGAATTCAGGATTTAAATTAATAGAGATTTCGTGTTTAATTAAATAAATTATATTTCCGGCAAATCAATTTATGCATGAAACACGCAAATTTTTACAAAACAGCTGATTAGAAGTTAAACACAGGTTTCACTTTTCCGTCTTACTCTTTGTCCAAAGAATTCAGTTGATAATTGTCTTGTTCCTAATTCTGGAGTACTTCCAGCGATATTTTTATCGTACTGTTCTTGATGTTTCATATAATGAGGTGGGCGAATTCCAGTGGGTGCCACATTTTGTTGATATATCATTTGTGGTTCAAATTCTAACGATCTGCAAACGAGTAATAATTTATCGATGATACAGTTCAAATGAACCTCAAACAAGCAATACTTTGAAGATTCGACAAACCGCATAAAAGCTTTCTGAAAAATAATTCGTAAACGTTTTTCCATCAAAAAGCTGAACAGAATTTTGCTACTTCTGTTTTTTAAAGTTTTACATTTTAATGAATGTAACATTTCTGTCTTTCAGATCTGGGAATGGAAAAGTAACAGATAAGTTATGAGAGAATATTCACACTACACCATAAATAATATGAAAAAGATGTGATATTGTGTTCAAAAAACAATATGAGAAATGTTTTCAGATGCAAACCTTCCCATACTTGCCACATTTAATTTTGAACTTCGATTAAAACTATATCGATCGCTGGCATCACTTTTACCAGTCCATGCAAAGTATACAAACACCAATGAAACCAAGAATGCAAGAAAATGGCATGCACAGGCAGCCATCTGTAGAAAAAATGCCAAACCAACTCGTTGCTGAAAATAATACTGTTTATGCTGATATTACGATGCGAGTGTGTATCACAGTATTTTTTCTAAAGTAAATGAATGGCTATGACCGGCTCAACAAATAAAACATATTGCATTGCTCAAGAGAGCTTTGAATAATTGCAATTATTAAAATTACCGGAATTATACTGGAATTACTCTACAAAAAGTATTTTCAAACCTCGTACGTACTGACGATACCCTTGATGAAGCGGACGTCGGCGCGATGTGAATAGAAAAAGAATAGTCCTTCTGCTATTACCGACAAAAATGCTAAAAAAATATTCTCCCCTGCGAAAAGTTACTTATCAACAAATCAAATCTTAAAACGATACGTCATTACAAGAATCTACATAAAAAGAATATAAGTATCGGAAAGGTAATTATTCCAGCTTACTTGTCATCAGAGTTACACCTGTG